ACAAATTTGTGGGCACTGCTCAGCAAACCACGAATATAAATGAACCCAGTGGTCTCTCTGGCTCTGTATTTTTGGGGTCTGTGATGCCAGCTGGAAAAAATACCTCCTTGTTAGGGAAGACTCTGCCTCAAGTTGCTGAAGAGACAAAAGTTTCCCCCCCTGTGCTGAGTTCATTTCAAAGCACCCACGGCACAAAGAGGACCAGCTGCTCTCCAGCAACAAATGTCCGCCCTGTGGAATACATCCGATCGGCACAGTCCCTGGATGACCTGGCAAGGGTCCAGCCTCAGGCCCGATATAGGATCAGTCACGTGGGATCATACAAAGATGGGGCAACAGCTGGCTTCTTGGGTCACCCACATGCCCTCACCAAGAGTCATTCAGAAAACCTATATGAATCGATCAAGGACACAGAAAGACAGAAGAAAAAAGGGCCACGGCCGGAGGCTCGCCAGCCAGCCCAGGTATGGTAACGTGGCTTCCATGCTCTGCATGGAAGGAAATGTGGTTGGCTGGGAAAGGAGCGCAGTTGAGTGGGTAGATGAGCAGACTGGGAGGAGGAACTCCTCGGTTCTTAGGCGGACCGCTGTTGTGGGCAAGTTGCTCCCTGTCCCCACTGTTCCCTAGCTCACAGTCAGAAGAGCGCTATGGCACTTCGTATGGAGCCCGGCTTTGAGAATCTCAGCAGAAAGGCGCTGGGTGAGAGAAGAGCACTGGACTGGCTGTGTCTCTTCTCAGGGCAGTGTGCTCCTGCATCTCCACTTCTTTGGGGCAGGTGTGGAAATGCACACAGGGATGGTCTGTTTGCTTTTAAGGGGGTTTTCTTGACCTTATTATCTGAGCCTGGTCTGTCTGAGCCCCGAACCTGCAAGTGGAAACCTGCTCTCAAGTGATGCCTGGCTGAGTAGGGAGAGCTGGGAAACATGCATGCTGCCCTGGTGCAGTCTGCAGAATTTGCAGCTGGGGAGGCAGATGAGCTATGGATTGACCCTGTTATGTCCCCAAGAAAAGCAGCATGAACAAGCAAAGCATTTAAGTGTCACACCCAAAGGCCTAAAAGAGCAGGGCCGGCCTTGCCTTGCAGTACTGGGCATTGCCAAAGGGCACGCCAGCCTCATGGTCCCCAAACACAAAGCCCTTTTTACTAGGAAAGTCTACAGTCTTCCCAGCACCTTCATGGTGTCATTGCTGTTGTCAGCATTTGGTATCTCTTAATGCTGTGCAAGACTTGGGAATGCAGAAATATGAATATCAGGAAATGCCTGACTTTCCAGTACTTGAACTCACAGCCTTGCTTTAACATGGATCCTATTTCTTTAATTGTGGTTCTTGAGAAACTTAGATGTTCTTTTGCCTGCATGTGACCTTGGATATGTCACCACAGCCCAGCTCCTCAAAGTGATGTAGGTGCCCAAATCCTACTGATTTCAGAAATGGGAGTTAATACACATGTCCAATGCCCGCTCCGTCGGAGCAGACTCAATCGAGTCTGCTGGAGCGTCCTACTGAAAACACTCCAGCAGCCTCGGCGTCACATACATTCAGCATCCCCGCATTTCAAAATGGCAGCAGGGGCACTTTAACTAAAACTTATTGAATGAGCTTTAGTTAAAGCGCCCCCACCACTATTTTGAAGCGTGGGATGCTGAATACATGAGACGCTGCGGGTGTTTTAATCCCAAGAGCTGGTCTAATTAAAATGCATTCCCCCCCCCCACCTGGAGCATGTGTAAAGATACCCTATGTGCCTAAATACCTTGGAGGCCTGGACCTACACTGCTGTGTTCTTCAGTTTCCTCACCTGCCAAGGAAATGTAATGGCAGTTGTGTTAAGATGCAGGGCGAAAAGCCATGCAACAGCTAAGTTGTTTTATTCCGAGTACCTGAGAATCCTCCTGCCACCTTTTTTAGTGCATCTAATTTTCTTTTTACCCATGGGGACTCCAGGAAGCCTGAGGGTGGGCCACATAAACACAGGCTGTCACCCTTGTTCTAGCTGCCTTGTCAGCTGCTGTTGGTAGCTCAGCAAACACTTTACATTCTCAATGTATTTATTAAAAATAAACCCCTAAGGAACAACTCTTCTTCAGAATTTTTTCAAGGTGAAAATGGAGCTAGAAATGGCTGGAGTGACAGGAGGAGCACTTCATACTTGTCATGTTGTCTCCTCCAGACCATTCCTCTTTGATGCCTGTTTCCTGCAAACAGGGAGATCCTTTGGCCTGGGGCAAACTTAAAAGCCTGCCTGCATCCTCCAGCTCAACTTGTTGTAGCTACAGTAACGTCAGTGCCAGGCATTCAGGGCCCCTCTACATTGCTGATTGCAGAGGAGTGCAGAGACGTCTGACTTAGCTGTAAATGAGCCAGCCTGAGTGCCGGAAGCAGCATAACCACAGCAGCACAGGGCTCCGCTCACTACTGTAGTCAGCCGAGGCAGGATACATAAGCAGCTATATCGCTCCATGCTACTGTGGCTAGACAATTTCCGGGACCCAAGTTTTGTTAAAGCTGGCTCAGGTGTCTGCACTGCTTTGTGACCTGCAGCTCACATGTACCCTGGGGAGAGCAAGAGCCAGGGTGGAACAAATACAACTTTGCTGCACCTGCTGTCTCCAAGCTTTCCTGGTGATGCTCATACATTGCACTTCTCATTAGGCTTTAGTGGTAGAAGCTTCTCTTTTTTTTTCCTTCTTTTTTTTTTAAATGACAGCTGAGATCCTGCAGGCTCGCATGACTCCAAGAGCTAGGGATTGGATCAATCTCATTTTTACAATCCTTTTCTCATTGTGAAGCATGATGGTGAAGCTGGTTTCCCAGTAGTCTAGCCAGGCCCAGAGAGGAAAGCAGCAGCTTCCTTTTCACAGTGGTGTGATTAGTTCTTCTTCCCACACACCATCCTTCAGAAACACAGCTCTCCTCCCCAGCCCCCAAGCTGCTGTGCTCCCTTGTCTCCCTCTCCTGGAAACATAAAGCGATGAGTTTCAGGTTAGAACTGCTGCAAGCCCCTGCTTTGCTCTGTTCCTGGCCTTTCTCCTTGGTTGTCTGAGCTGGACATGGAGCTGAGATGATGGAATCTGAAAGGGCACATAAAATCCTCCCCCCACCCCCAGGGACTGCTGCTCTGCAAAGAAAGGCCCCCTACCCAAAGTTTGAAGGGGGCAATGCCCTCTTCAGTTGGTGCACGAAGCGGGTGCCAGATGTGATGAATTGTACCTTTAAGAGGCTTTTGCAAGAGCTATTTGGAACTCACTATTGGCAACTATGAGCCATGCAAGGCAGGGGGTACAACACAATCCAGGAGCAAGGCTTAGCTCTCGTGGCCCATCAACCACCGGGAAGGTGGAAGAGCTCCATTATATGAGATCCCAGCTCTTACACTGGCATCTCCTAAAAGTACAGTACCCATGAAGTGCTGTGACTCATGTGTGAGAAAGGGCTGCAGCTTTTGCTCTCTGTAGCTCTCCCATCCCTTTGCGTGGTGGGGGGAAGGTCTGCCTAGCTGTGATAAAGGTGCAGTGTTAGCTGCCAGCACTGGTACTACGTCTTTCAAAAAGGTCTCCGGTCTAGATTGGGAGGTACCAGGGGATGGAGAATCCCCCATTTCCTTTAGCTGTTTGGCCCAGTGGTTACTTGCCCTCACTGTAAAACTGTTGCCTTATTTCCTTCATCTGCTAGCCACGGGGTCTTGCTCTGCCTTTCTCTGCTAGAACAGAGGTCTGTCAGCCTTCCCTGTTCCTAGGTATGCTGTCATTACATAACTTCTTGCTCTTCTAATCGCACAGGCTGAGTGCTAAGTCTCACACTCGCTTGGTTAAAATTCCCTTTGAAACGTGCGGATGTCACAGCTGACCCAGAACTCCTGCCCTACAGCAGCAACCTCTGGAGCAGGGTTGGCAAAATATGGCCCATGGGCCAGATCCCACCCACAGAGGGCCCCTCGGTCCCACCTGGCCCAGGTGCCATCCATCCCCCAGGCACACACTGAGGCTGAGGCGGCTTCACAGCTAGACTGCCTTTCTAGGCCGCCCAAGCAGCGGCAGTGTTTTCCAGCTACTGCCACTGCTGGCCCCAGCCCCGGCAGGGACCAGTGCACACAGCCCTGACCCTGGCCCATCCCACACCTGCTCCAGACTCAGCCTGGTACATCAGACCAGCTCTGGACCAGCCAGAACCCACACATGCAGCCCCAACCCTGGTCCGCCCCCCCGCCTGCTCTGGACCTCCCACCCATGCTGAGCAGCAGTGGTGGCAGCCAGGCAAAAGCTGCTGCTCAGTGCAAGGGAAAAGTGGCTTCTCCCCCTAGCCGTGGCAGGACAGCCCAGGCACAGGTGGCTGCAGCAAGAACCAGGCAGCAACAAAAGAGAGAGGCCACTTTTCCCCTGTGCTGAGCAGCAGGTACTGCCTGGCTGCCGCTGCTCAGCGTGGGTGGGCGAGTTCGGAGCAGGGTAGGGCTGTGTGAGCAGGTTTTGGCTGGTCCGGAGCTGATCCGCTCCATCAGGCCGAGTCCAGAGCAGGCGCGGAGTGGGTTGGGGTCAGGGTTGTGTGCGCCAGTCCCTGCCAGGGCTGGAGCCAGCAGCCGGAAGGAACTGCCACCATCTGGGCTGCCTAGAAAGGCGGGTTGGGCCAGGGCTGTGCGCTGTTGGCAGTGGTGCGTGGGCCCCGGGCTGTTGCATGGCAGGTGGTGGCAGCTCCTCAGAACTCCCTATATGGCCCATGGGCAGAAATAATTGTCCGCCCCTGCTCTGGAGGGAGCTGACCCCTCTCCAGCACTTTCCAGACAGCAGAGAGAGGCCATGGACCAGTTCTTTGTGTATGTCCCAAGGGCTTTGATGCCGGTATCTTCAAGTCACTGAGGCAGGTAGAGTTAAAAAGGATGTTGGCTGCTGGCTTCCCTGTTGGAGCTGGGGCATGGGCATTGTGCAGGGGACAGAGAGTGACAGTTTGATTAAACTTAATTGTGACAAAGGGATCAGAGACCCTAGCCAGAGACTGGAAGGTGAAGAAGATCTGTGGGCTGCTGAGCTACGGCCCTGGCTGAGAGCTAGCACTGCTTAGTCCAGCTCACGGAGGTGGTACAAGTTGGGAACTTTGCCTTTGAGAACTAGGCTCTGTTGACTGAAACTCTTGAGGCTGCCGTGTTACACACAAAGAGTGGTTGGGTCAGCAGAACCTGCTGGGAAAGGACTCTGGAGCTCTCCTGAGAAGGAAAGGTCGGGAAGGCTGCAGCAGAGGCTGTTTGTGTTGAGTCATCCATGCGCAGGGCGTCACTTCTCGCCTTTGCTCAGTGTTTGTGGCTCTGGGTTTGAGTTTATGGCTGGGTGGCTGCCATCTCCTGAGAGCTCTGGGTGCCGAGGTGCTTGAACACCATTAAGAACATGACCCTCTTTCTCTTGACATCAGTGGGATTCAAGGCGCCTTGACAAATCTGCCCATTAATCTCTGCCGGCTCCCATACTGCTAGCAG